ACAATCTGGGTCCTCATTTCACCCACCTCGGAAGGATGGAAGGGCTGAGTCAACCTTGAGCCGGTGAGATTAGAACCGCCGAACTGCAGATAGCAATCAGCTGAAGCGGCCTGCAGTACTGCACCCTAACCACTGCGCCACCTCGGCTCTTGCCCCATCATCTGGGGTTGAGCTGAGGGACCTCACACAGGAGCCCCATAGATGATTCGGCTCACGGATGGCAAGAGGCAGCTCCCCGCACTACACACACACACACACCCTCCCTGCTCAGACCCACGGAATAAATTACGCTTGAAATGGAAGAGGCAGGGGCATCATTATCAGCTTTAGTGTCTCAACAAAGACGAAAAGACAAGATTGGTTTTATGGCTTGCTCTGGGCCATCTGAGCTCTGCAGACGGCAGAGAGCGAAACCGCAGAAGCGATGAAACGCTGCCAAAGCAGGAGAGGGGGGGGGTTCGTTCTCGGCAATAAATGGGGTGGGGAGGGGGGGGGACATTTGTTTTAATCAAACTATTTCTAAACCCCAAGCAAACCCAGCTGTCTTTGGCCCCCTGCCCACCTTCCTATCTTGCTGGAGTCAATGACTCACCGGATAACTCTGAAAGAATCAGGCAGGGGTTTTAAATTGCTCTCTGAACCGTCCAGTGAAGATTTGGGGAAGCAAGAGCAGCCCTCCTTGCCTTCAAAGGTAAACTGCTCTTGAACATGAAGGTTCCAGCTCACTAACGCACCGAGTTCAACAGTAGGGGAGATGGTTGGGAGGCGGCTGGTGGAAATCCCCTTCTAAGGGTCTTTCTGGAAGTCGGTGTTGCAATATTGACTCCTAATAGGTCCGCCTCTTGGGTGAAGCGGAATATAGCAGAATGACAGAATTGGGAGGGACCTTGGAGGTCTTCTAGTCCAGGGGTCTAGAAAAGCCACAACGCTCCTAAACGGAAGCCCCCCATTCAATTCCGGAGCCGATCGGAAGTCCGGTTTCCCCCACCATAGAGTCTCCTCCTAGCATGGCGTCCTTTTTCCTCTACCTATACTAACCTAACCCTATCCTAAATTGATAACCCTATCAATTGTGGAGCTGACCAGCGACAGGGAGCCACAGCAGAGGAATGAAAGAGCCACATGCGGCCCCCTGTCCTAGTACAACCCCCTGCCCAACTACACTGATCTGGACACATGGCTGCCCACTCTCTTCTTGAAGGCCTCCAGGGATGGAGAACCCACAACTTCTGGAGGCAAGTTGTTCCACTGATCGTTCTCACTTCACCCTAGTTCCAGTTTGCTTCTCTCCTTGATGAGTTTCCATCCATTGTTGCCTCTTCTCCTGCCCTTGGGTGCTTTGGAAAACGCTTTCCTACGACCATGCCACATGCACCCCCCCACAGCTCAAACATCCCATGCGCAATGAAGATGTGAAATCTGCGGGGTGGAGTATATTTTGCTCCTTGCTGAAGGTTGATACCAGCCCATGTGCAGAGATGGGATAAATTGGATGTCAGCCTCTGCTTTGCTGCTGCTTCGGCTGCCATTGAAACGGGGAGGGGGGG